TTTTCTACATTCTTTCATTTAAGGATTTTTAAAACAAAGGCAAGTACTTCCAGCATCACCCTAACATTCCCCAAATCAGTAATTCAACTGGGAGAACACCAAAGCTCATAAAAGTCAAACACCAGAGCAAACCACAGAGCCCACTTGCCCCTGCGGGGTTTTTTTGTTGTTTTTTGTTTGTTTGTTTGTTTTTTGGGGGTTTTTTGTTTTTTGTTTTTTGTTTTAATCCAGTGCTATTCTGCCCAGGGGGTGCTCAAGTCTCCCATCTCTTAAATCTCTAGATGATTCTAGCTTTTTGGGATACTGACCTTGTACAATCAAGCCTACATGCCTAGGAAACCAACTTAGGAGAACCCTAGGAGAGAATGCCTCTAAAGGGTCCGGCCAGATCCTACTTAAGGTAAAACAGCAAACTTGGCTTCGTGAGATAAAGCTTCCGGAACGGGACTAGTTTTAAGATAGACTTTCGTTAATAAAAACCATGATTGACGTATATGTCCTTTGCTCTTTCAAAGGGCTCCTACACTGAAAATTTTTGACAAGCCACAAATACTCACCTCCTCATTTATGTTCAGTGTCAATCCAGATCTTGATTTCAAATCCTTAAGTGTTTAAAATGCACCCACTCCAGGGGTCTGTGCTAGGGGCTGTGGGAGATACGTGGTCTCTGCCCTCAAAGAGCTTGCATACTTGCTGAAGACACAGAACGTGAGTCCAGGAGTTCAGGGCCCAAAGGAAGGACCAGCTGCTGACAGCTGGTGAGCTCAGCGGGGTGGCAGCACATGGGGAATTCTCTCTAGATGTGATGTGCTTTGTGGCAGCCTCTGAAAGTCCTCTGTTGTGCTAACATGCAAGACGCCCACCTGCCATCACTGAACAGTATGAACAATGAGGACAGGTCACCCTAGCCTCCAGAGGGAAAAAGATCAGAACACAGGAGACAGAAATTGTTGCAGGATTTCTCTTCCCTCCGTGGGTGCCCGTGGTTCTTGGTCACGCTGCTTCGAAGAATGAAGAGGTAGACCAGATGAAGGGTGGTGGGCAGCAAAGCAAAGTTTATTGAGCGATAGTACAAAGTTCTGGAAGAGGGAGGGGACCCGAGAGGGTTGCCACTGGAGTTTCTGAGTCTAGGGGGGTTTTATGGGCTTGTTGGCGGGCTGTTTTAATCGGATTAACCCTCCATGTACCTGTCATACAATCACGTTTTTGTCATCTACCTATCACGTGGGAAAGGGTGGAGGGCTCCTTCCAGGGGGGTGTAAAATACTTTTAAGGGTGGTTTCCTCTTAGGGCGGGAGCCCCTTGTCCCTGCCTGCCTTTCTTCCCACTATCCTTCATTAAAATGAGAAAATCTCTTGAAAGGAAGGGAGCCCTTCCAATGACAAGGGTGTTTACAAAATTCTCCCAGTGGCCCCGAGCTTTAATCTGACGAGTCCAGGGTTCCATGATCATTTATCTGGAGAGATGATCCACAGTGTTCATAAAATTCTTGAAGGGGTCTGTGATCTCCAAAAGGTTGAGATTCACAAATCGCATTCCTCCCGACCCTCTTGTTAAATCCTTTAACTAGTGACCCAGTTAAGGACATGACTAACTTACCCTCCCAACCTGGTTCACCTGCTTCCAATCTCTTCCCTATTTTCCATCCTCTACAGATAAATTTGCCCAAAACACAATTATGATCATGTCATTCCGTTACTCCAGAAGGATGGCTTCCCATCACTTGCAGAATAAAGTCTCAACATAGTACCTGATACTCCAGCCAAAGTAGACTACTTCCCTTTCCTTAAAACCCCTCTCTACTTCCTCACCTTTGTCTCAAGCCTGGGGAGACCCACCCCCTCCCAATCATTGCCTGTCAAAACAGTACAAAATGTACTTCGACCTCCAAAACCACCTCCCAGGATGTGCCGCACAGAGGTGATACCTTTTCCCACAGAGTCTGCGTATCACTTTGCTTGGATCTTGTGGCCGATGTCTAGTTGTACCTCCAAAATCCATTTTCTTCTCCTGCCTGGGCACAGGGCCACCTCCCGAGACGTTTCCTAGTCTTGCTTGCAGCTAGGTGTGACTTGCAACTAAGCTGTTGCCATGTGACAGAGCTGTTGCCAAAGGGATATGACGGAAAGTGAAATGGACAAATTCCACCTGACTTGCTTCAAAGGAGACCCCTTCCCTGGACCTCTTTCTTCCTTCCCATGAGCTAGAATTGTGGATGTGCTCATGACCTTGCATGGAGCATAACTGTCCCACTGGCCTAGAATGGCCGGCATGTGATGTCAGAGAAAAGTCATCTGTCTTTCTTGAGCTGCTGTGTCTTAGGGGCTTGGCCACAGCAGAGGCTTCTCCGTGGTAGTGTAGTAAATTGTTCTGTGGCTTCTAAGTGTCTCATTTTCTCCACTAGGAAGCCAACCCCTTATTGGTCTCCCTGCTTCCTGTTGTGACCCCTACATTCTATTTGCAGCTGAGATGATCCTTTTTTTAAAAGATTTTTTTATTTATTTGTTTGAGATAGAGAGAGTGAGAGAGAGCACGAGTGGGAGGGGGGCAGAGGGAGAGGGAGAAGCAGACTCCCCAGTGAGCAAGGAGCCTGATGTGGGGCTCAATCCCAGGACTCTGGGATCATGACCTGAGCCAAAGGCAGACGCTTAACCGACCCAGGCATCCCTGAGATGATCCTTTTAAAAGGGAAGTCAGATCATGTCATGCTTTGCTTAAAACAACAACAACAATAATAACAAGAACAACAACAACAACAAAGAACCCACTTTACTGGGTAAAAGCAGAAATCCTTAAAATGGCCTACAAGGTCCTGCAAGGTCCTTGATCAGCAGCCTCCCACCAATTGCTCTTACCTCACTGACCTTATTTTCCTGATTTTCTCTTACAGGCGTGCTCTACCCCCACCACCCCAACACTCACTCCGCACCAGACACACCGACCATTGTACTATTCTGCAAACAAGTTAGACACTCTCCTGCCTTGGGGTCTTTGCACCTGCTGTTCCCTCTGCTTGTCCCAGATATCAACATGGCTCCTTCCTTTATCTCCTTCAGGTCTTTGTTCAACTGTTACCTTCCCAGATCGGCTTTCTCTGACTACCCCACTTAAAACTCCCTCTCCCCTAGTACCATCCTGGCACATTATCCCACTTCCTTGCCTCAATTTCCTCTACAGCGCTTACCACCATTTGACATATTATAAATTGTCTTTGTTTACACATTTCTTGTTTGAGACCATAACCTCCATGAAAGCAGGGGTTTTTGACTGATTACTATCATATTCTCAGTGCCCGGAACAGGACTGGGTACATTAAAAGTATTCCATAAATATTTTTTGAATGAACGAATTCCTTGGGTGCAAATACTTTCTAATCCCTTCAATGCCTAGAACACTGCTTTTTGAGATTTATTTATTTATTTTAGAGAGACAGAGAAGGATCGAGAGTGGCGGGGAGGGGCAGAGGGAGAGAATCTTTAAGCAGACTCCCTGCTTAACACAGAGTCCAACTGGGGGCTGGATCCCAGGGCCCCTGAGATCATGACCTGAGCCGCAACCAAGAGTCAGACCCTTAACTGACTGAGCCACCCAGGTGCCCCCACACCTCTTTGTACGCAACAAAGCACTCAGTAAATATTTGATGAATGAACTAGGATGGATATTCTGCCTTAATATTCTGCCTTGCTGTTTGCTTCCTTCTCCAAGTACCCCTAGACACCTGGGCCTACATTAGATTTCTGAACTCGTAAAAGTATGACAAAGGGTCAGAAGGAGAGGTCCTCCATGGACACTGCTGAACATGGCAATGAGAGAAACACAGGATGCTGCTTTGAGTATTTTCTGCCTATGCCACTTGGACAAATCCCTTCCCATCTCTGGGTCTTAGTTTCACCATATGTAAGATGAAGCTAGGAGACTGGATGATTTCTGAAGTCCCTTCTATTTTTACAGCTTGTAGTTATGGTGCTCATAACTAAAATTGTATGATTCTAAAATTGTATGATTTTTCTCTTCTAACCTGTGCTTGGAATATGCTCAATGAAAATGTGGTGGAGGGAAGAAGGCTCTCTTTGGTCCCATTAGCCCATGTATCATTATAAAAATAAAACATGGTGTAAAAGGCCTCATGAGCAACATGTTGACATGACGCCGAGGCTCACATGAGGCAGAAAGACCAAAAACTAGGTTTCCTGATTCCTTCGGGGCTCTTAATCTGGAGTCCCATACATATACTATATCTTCTCTCCTTTCCAAGGGGTAGATAAATTAGACCTTTATTGCCAGGGTATTTTGGAAAATCCACACTCCTTCACTTGTTTGAACACACTTGGTCCCATCGTCCAAAACAAAACACAACTTTCTCTTGCCGTGGCTCTGGATGATGGAGGTGGCGGGCGCTCAGTCCCTTTCCCCTCGCGACTCGTCTTCCAGGCAAAGGCAACGCTGCACAGTCGGAAAGGGCAAACACGCCCTCTGGACGCACCCGTGCCACGGGTGTCTCTCGGTGATGTCAACGTGCTTTAAATCAGCCCTGCCCTATGAAGAGATAAAAATCACGTTCAGAAACATGCAAACTCCCGTTCAGAAATCTCCCCTTCATTCTGACAAACTGGCTGCCATCGCGCTAAACAGATTTTCTTAAAAGGAACGGCAAACCAGAGCCAGACTTACTTGGGGTGCTCAAGGGTTGGGGAAAAAGCGTGTCTGGTCTCCCGCTTGCGGGAAAGAGCTGGCACGACGCGCCACCAATATCCCTCCCTCCCCCGCCCCCCCCCCCCCCCCCCCGCAGTAGAGCGCGCTTCGCCTGGGCGCTCGGGAGCCGGCTCGCCCCGACCGCCTAGCTTCAGGGGGCGGCGCCGCGCCTTAGCCTCGCCCTTTTCATGGCCTCCAGCCAATACCTGAGACAAGCGGGGGCAGACCGAGCTGCGGCGAGAAACCCGCCCCTCGCTCCCGCTCAGCTAATCGCGGCGGCGGGGTGTGGCCCTGCCTGCTGGCCCCGCCTCCCCGGCGCGGGGCAATTTAGAGCCGCACGCCGGGCGGGAATGCAAGATGGCGGAGTAGCAACGCGAAGCGGTCAGCACCGAGTCTCTTGGCCGACTTCGGGTCCCGTCTCGGCAGCCGCAGTGATCGCTGAGCGGAGAGTGCCTAGGGTAGTGAGCCAAGATGCCGAATATTAAAATCTTCAGCGGCAGCTCCCACCAGGACTTATCCCAGAAAATTGCTGACCGCCTGGGCCTGGAGCTAGGCAAGGTGGTGACTAAGAAATTCAGCAATCAAGAGACCTGGTAAGGGCGAAGTCGGGACCCCGACCGGCCTCACCTGCCGGAGCGGCGGGGGGCGACGCTGGGGCGACAGAGGGTAGGGGGATGGGGCCGCCGCGTGAGTTGTGTGCGACCCGGGTTGCGGGGGGGGGGGGAAGGGGAAGGGGCAGCTCTGTGGCGAGCGTGCCCCGCGGGTTGTTTCCGTTATGTTACCTCTCGCGGGAGGGTCACGTTCATTCTCACCGTGCGGTGGGGTGGAGTCAAGATGGAGCAGGAGGCGAAGCTGCTGGGTTTGAAGGCAAGGGCTGGAGGACCCAAGACGGGGATAGCGGCTGCCTAGAGCGACGGAAAGGGAAAGACGCTTAGCCTCAGCCAAGGGGACACGTGGCTTTGTCGCTTCGCTGTGGAGCCATCCAGACAGGACTGGGGTCACTTTAACTCTTGGACCAGCTTGCTTGGGAGAACCTTACTGCGGCGTACTGAGCTCTCCTGGTGTTTCTCTTAGAGTCTTAAGAAGCAGCTTTTCAATTCGAAATGGTGTCGGTCGGCTTTTTGTAGTGAGGGAAACTGACATTATGTACTGAGGGCGCCAAAATTATTACTAAGGACTTCCGTTGGATTGGCAGGCGTTGGCTTTTCATATCTTCAGCATCACGTCTTTAGAAGTGGAGCCGTACTGAAGTTAAATCTAGCTGCTCAGATAAAGTGATGCATCAACTCTGCATCCTGATTGCCAGCATCTCAGCTTGAGCCATCCAGACAATTTTAGGGAACCTTCGTTCTGGCATCCTTGACCTTCCCCAGTGCAGCTACTGGTCCAGATGATAAGAAACCTGTTTTTCAGTTAGCAGAGTCTATCCTGAACTTGTCCACTTTTCTTAGCCCGCGTGGGGAATTTAGGAAACAGTTTTATTATCCCCGAGTGTTAAGATAATGGAGGAAAGATGAGTGGAAGACCGGAATTGCATAGTGCATCGCAGCTCGAATTTTTTTCATTGCCTTGCTAATTAAACTTGCTCCCTCCCCCCACTTCCAACTTCCTCCTGCACTTTGGGGGCCATCTTAGAGATAAACTTACTTACCTGATCCTTCCACCTGAATGTAGAATCTAACGGTTCTGATATTCATACTTGGTGTTTCTTTGCCCTGTCAATCAAATCAGGACGGTGCCCACAATCTCACAGGTGCAGTCATCTGTTAAGGGGAAAGTTTACACCAAACCTACTGGTTCAGTTAAATTAGATAAGGTTACTTTCAACATTTTTTCCTAGAAGCCTTTCCTTTTTCTCTTTCCTTAAACTTACTACCGAAGTGTAACTCCCCTATCCTTCCTAGACCTGCTGATAAAAGCATTCATGTGTAGTGGACAGCTTCCTTCTGGATACTTGCTTATGGGGCCGCTGGTTGTGATGTAGATGATAGTGCAACCAGGCAATGGCTTAGTCAGAAGAGGCTGGCCAAGCTGCTGTCTTTGGCTGTGACCACACCATAGTGACCATAATAAGACAGTCCAGGATCAGACTTGGCCAGTGGCAGTATAGGCAGGGGCCAAGAATGATTTTCTTTTAGAGGGTTTTTTCCGGCCCCCTTAGAGAACTGCGGTTATTAAATCATTTTCCTAGGCTTCTAGGAAAAATACAAAGACCTTATTTTTCTTTGTGTTAACCCTTCACCCTCTGCCTAAAGCAATACCATAGAACCTGAAGCTATATTGGGAGACAGGGAGGGTGAGAACAATTTAGTGTTCTGACTGATCTGAATTCATCAGCAATCCCAATCTACTTCAGAGATCAGGCTGGTTTCATTTTTAAACCGCTGGACAATAGCATGCTTGGAAACCCTGGTTAAGATTAAGCCCAACATGGAAAATTGCTGACTGGTTTGGTTTCCCTGTTTCAGGCTTAATCATTAGCTTTTTGGTTCCTGAGATGGTCTGAAATCTTCATTGAACATAATGGAATATGTTACCTGTGGAGCTTCCCCCTCTCTGCGCCCCCCCCCCCCCACCTTTGGCTCTTCTGCACTGTAGAAATGTTAACTGCTGCCCTGTGTGACTCTTGGGCTCTTAAGGACATGGACTGAGCAGCTCAATGGGTACTCTGGGTCATCAGAGGGAGAACTGCAGAGCCCAGCCTCAAATGAGACAGTTTTGCTGTCTGTACAATTTGCCAGAATCTCAGGGGTTGGTGCCCTCTGGAGAAGAGTGGCTTTTCTTCTCAAGTCAAGATCATCCATTGCTGTCCAGTTATTTAGGAAACATACATACATATATACATGTAGGTGGGTGTATCACATACACACAGAGAAGAGAGATTAGAAGTTCATGCTCTGGAATCAGAGAACCTGCATGTGAAGTCTGCTTTTCTTTGCCCCAGTAATCTCATCTGTAAAGTAATATCTACCCATGGAATTATTGTGAAGATGAAATGAGATAGGAGTAAAGGGAAACACTGTCCCACACAATAAATGCACAGTGAATGTTGGTAAGAAGTGGTGGTGATGATATTGCAGAAAATGTGGAAAATACAGAAGAGGACAAGGGGAAAAAAGACACCCCAAATAGTCTCACCATCCACGGTTGACTGTTCACGTTTTAATTTATGACCTTCCAGATATTTGTGTGTGTTTAAGTACTTTTTCAAAAATGTAAGATGTTTGGGGTACCTGAGTGGCTCAGTCAGTTAAGCATCCTACTCTTGGTTTTTTCTCAGGCCATGATCTCACAGTTGTGTGATCGAGCCCTGCATCGGGCTCTGTGCTCAGTGAGGAGTCTGCTTCAGATTCTGTCCCTCTCCCTTACTCTCTCTCTCTCTCAAATAAATAAATAAATAAATAAAATCTTTTTAAAAATGTGAGGTATTTATAGCTTTCATCACTTAGCAATATTTTTTGAATAATTTCTCCCCTTAATATTTTAGTCTACATGGTTTTAAATAGCTGTAGAGTCTTGTCTTACCGTTTTACTATGATTTTAGATAACCAAGTCCCTGCTATTAGATATTTCCCATTTTTGACTAATGCTTTTATATGAAAACTTTGAACATAAATCTTTGACCATTTCTGATGATTTCCTTAGGACAAATCCCTAGAAGGGGAATTACTAGGTTAAGGGGTATGCACCATTGTTCAGGCATTTGGTTGGCAGATTAGTTTCTAAAAGAGTTGACCCAATTTCTGTTCTCATCAGCAATAACGGTACTTAATAGTGATTAATGTATAGTGAGTACTTAAGATGTGCTAGTTCCTATGTTAAGTACTTTATCCATTTTTAATCCCCTCAACACTACTGAGAAGTTACTATCCCCATTTTATGGATGAAGGAACTAAGATTCAGAAGTTAATTTGCCCAGCTCTAGGTATTACTGTTTAAATTTTTGCTGATGCAGTATTTCATCTGGCTTTTAAATTTTTAGTATATTCAAAAGTTGTTTTTTTTTTTTTCTTATTCTCTTCAATAGCGGTAAGTACCTTTGGTTTATTTCGTTACTCTGGATAGGATGAGAGGGGGAAGACTAACTTTGGTTGCCTAGGATTTTCCTAAGAACCATATCCCCCGGTTAGTTAATCCCTTGCATTTTGCACATGCCAATGTCTCCGTCTAAATTCTTGAGATTTTCTTAAGAATACTACCTGCCTATTAGATTTCGCTTTATTTCCTTTTGTGTAGGCTTATGGATGCCCTTATGCCTGATGCTAAAGGAAAGGAATGGAGAAGCTAGTTTTCTCATTGGATGGACATGGCCAGTCTGCCCTCACTAGAAGATTGGGAGAATGATTGGCCCAAAGCCAGTTGAGGAACATGCCATTAGCTAGAAGGAGAGAACATGGAGTGTTACCCTTTAAATTGCTAAACCAGGTTTTTCCACCTGATAGATTACATTAAGAGCAAACAGGTTTTAGGCACAGCTCTTCTGCCATCAGTCACTGCCTAATTTATCATCTCTGACTTAGAGGAAACCATAAGAAAAATATTAAGATTTCTTGAACTGTTTCTTGACCAAGCTGTATAATCTGAGTGTAGTTTGCAGGCTTTTTAGGCTTTATGAAAGTCTGTATACTATAATACTACTGGAGGGAAGGATTGATCTTAATCAGTGAGATCAGTTATGTACAGTAAAATAAGGCAATGTCCTAGTTTACTCGCACCCCTTTATTTTGATGTATTTATTTATTTGAGAGCGGCTGCACAAGGGTGCGCAAGTGGGCAGAGGGGCAGAGGGAGAGAATTCTTCAAGCAGACTCCCCGTGGAGTGTGGAGCCCTGATGGAGGGCTCAGTCTCACAACCCATGAGACCATGACCTGAGACGAAACCAAGAGTTGGGTGTTCAACCTGTCTGAGCCACCAAGGGGCCCCTGCACCACTTTATTTGGGATATAGTTTAATAAAGAAAATTTTCAAGTTATTAGATACACGCCTGGTCATAACACCTTTCCGTGCTTGAGGGAAAATTTTAATCCTCAGTTTGGCTTTGGGGAGTGGTTGAACTGCTGCGTGACTATCATCAGGTGATAACAATAACAGGAAGATGTTACTAGTGATCGTGTAGGGTGGTGAGCTGGTGCTTTTGTAAAAATTATTTTTCAGACCTTCTATGATATTAGACTATAATTTCTAAAAGAATCACCTCTACTAAAGTATTGTATTTAGCAAATGATCCCTGATGTTTAGTTGGCAGTGATAATTTAATTTTATAATTAATACCTTATCTGCTTTCAAGAAAGGATTTTAAGTGTGTTTCATGATAGTCACACGTACAAAAGGTTCATTAAATGCATCAGAAGCCTTCTAAAACAAAGGACTATTGTAATCGTGCCAAGAATTTGGCATAAAGTGATTACTGAAGGTCAGTTGTTAATTTAACTGTATCCCTTGGCTTCCTGGCAGCCAAAGGGATAAAGGCATATGCAGTGGATTATGTAGTTTTGTGGGTTTTTTTTCGTAAAACTCTTTAGACACCTTCAGGCACAAAATTCTAAGAATTTTATGGGTGAGATCCTTAAATAATGATATTGAGTAACATAA